ACATGTCAGTCTTCGACGTACTCCCCCTCGGAGTCAACACATTTTTTCCAACTTTCTGGAAGCATCCTGATGCCCCCCCCCCCAAAATACTTGGGGTTGGCAGCATATCCACTCTCGAACAGTCTGAATGATGGCATCGTTGTCCACAGACCACATGCCTTGCAAGTCTGATTTGAGCCTTCCAAACAGGTAGAAATCACTTGGGGCCAAATCAGGACTGTACGGCGGATGTGTCAGAAGGTTCCATTTCAATTCCCGAAGGGTTTCCGTTGTTGTTTTGGCCGTATGGGGGCGTGCATTGTCTTGAAGGAAGGCTACCCGCTTTCCACCTGTCTTCTGCTTGGATCGGATCTTACTGCAAGTTCCTTGATAGTGATGCATCTATTCTCACGAATAAGCACGTCTGCACGATCAGTGTTCGGCTCGGTGATGGATGTTCGCGGCCAATGATCATACGGTTCATTCTTCACGCGCTCTCTGCCCTCTCTGAAGCACTTACACCGCTCAAACACACGGGTCCGTGAGAGACACTCTTCCCCACACTGTTGTTGGAGTCTGTGGTGAATTTCAGTGGACTGGACATTTTCTCCAACGAGGAATTTGATCACAATGCGTTGTTCCACGCTCCGCGGTACCTTCTGTTCTCTCATCACTATAGCAACTTCCAGACTGGACTGAACAGGTTCTAACCCTAACAGGAGGGAGGGTGGAGGTTGTGGCTTCACTCTCTCAAGATCGCACAGCTGCTGCGCAGTGCGGCTGGTTTAAAAAAAATCAGTCCTGGTCATATTTGAACCACCTTGTATCTTAATCACATGGCCTCTTCCCATAGGATAGCATCATCCTTCATCCCTTACCATTACTCTCACTGCAAGACCTATAGATTGTTTTATTCCCCCCTCTGCCTCATACTTACTGTGAAAGTGGTTAGTGCAGTGTGCATCATAATATTGGAACATCTTCACTACACTGTGTGACTCAACTCTGAAAGCCGAACTTATACCGTACATTTGACACAAACCTTGAAAACTTAACAGAATTAGGCATGGCTTGTTATAGGTGAGTGGGAACTCTCTTTCAGTTGCTTTCTTTGACATTAACAGATTTTCATATTCATTGTGGTGATTTTGGATGCTCCTCGTCCCGAAAAACATAATGGAGCTTTTTGTAGCTTATGTAAAAGTCTTTTCTGAAAATGGTAAAGAGTAGTGGATATTTACCTGTCTTTTTCTGCAGTAGAAGCTTTTAATCCTTTGCACGCCATGTACTGTGTAGGTGAACCTGTTATACTTGTGCTAAACCGCCACATTTGAAGACAGCAGCTCGTTCTTAATCATTAGTGTAACATTTATGTTAATGGATGGCATTGAAATGAGAGATTTCAATGTTCGGAGGAAAGAACAGGCTTTCATATTAGATGTTTGTTTTGTTTAAGATTTGAAGCTCTCATGGGGAATAAATGTGCTAAAATCTATGCCGGCGATCAACTGTGTCAATATTGAACCAAAAATCAGTTTTCCGGAGATCACCTTGGTCTGTGTCGTTAGGGCCGATGTGGTGAATGACCATATGACACTGATATTTATACCAGACAGAGAGAAGAGCATGCTAAAAAAAGAAAAAAAGAATACTTGACAACAGACATCATGTTAAGCAACATAATGATAAGTTAGAGTCAGATGGGTGGCCACACAGTTCGACTCCATCTTCCAACAGCATAGTACACCAGTAGGAGGTGGCATCAATTTGTTAAACTGGTATGAAAGTCTGCAGCATATGGTCGTCTACCACATCAGCCATGGTGGTGGAGATCGAGCTCTCTGAAACACTGGTTTTTAGTTCGACATTGACATAACTGATTGCCCAAGAAGATCTTAGTAGCTTTCTGTTGTTCTTTGAAGGTCAGATGAGGAAAGAGTGTGTGTTCATGCATGGGCATGTGTGCATGCATGCACGCACACGCACACACAAGTCGGTATAGTGATGGGCTATGAGCTGGATGACTGGGGTTCAATTCCAGCAGAGGCAAGATTTGTCTCTGTTCTGTAGCATCCAGGCTGGCTCTAGGGCCCACCCAGCCTCCTGTCTAGTGGGTACCAGCAACAGTTTCACCCACAGGCACAGTGGCTGAGGCATGAAGCTCTCCACTCATCTCCATCTACCCCTGAGGTCAAGAATGGTGGGACTGTTCCTCCACTCCACCATATGTCTCCATGGCATAGTGCTGCATTAATTAAGCACAGGGACTTTACCTTATATGCAAGGGGAGAACAAAATAATGGAAACACTAAGAAATTGAGGAATCAAATTTGTGTTGGCTACATTTAAAAAACTTCAGTTGGCAATACTGAATATTCTTCTTCCATTTGTTTACACTCTGTAGTGCTCGTGTCAGTGCGATAATGATTGCAGTGAGTGACATTCCGTGTGAAACAGTCGGAAAATGGGAGACTTGTTCGATTTTGAAAGAGGACAGATCATTGTTGTACATTTAGCTGGAGCATCTGTGACAGAAACTGCCACATTATTAGGTGTATCAGGAGTGACAGTTTCTAAAATTATGTCACCATGCACAAATCATGGGAAGACAGCATCAGCGAAGATGAACCATGGGTGAAAATCGACATTGACTAAAAGAGCTCATCATACAGGATCGTTCTGAAAAATTACAGAACTACTGCATCACAGGTGATGCAGAGCTGAATATGTACGAGGGGGGACCCAAAAATAACCGGAAACGACCTGTTGCACGCGCATGCTTTGTAGTTACGAGTTGTGCTGCTAGGTGGTGTTAGCTGGGGGTCTCCTGCGACTGTTAGTGAGCTGGCGTCAGTCTGAGTTAAGTGGTTTGTCTGTGGTGCTCTGTTGTGTGCGTTCCTGTTTCAACCCTTTGGCGATTAGTGAGATGGCTGACCAGAAGGAACAAAGAGTGTGCGTGAAATTGATGAAGATCGTCGAAAGACCATTGACCAACTTTCTGAGGAAACGAACATCTCATGGAGCACGGTCCAGCGAATTTTAACCGAAGGTTTGCACATGAGACGGGTGTCTGCAAAATTTGTTCCTCGCTTGCTCGGAGATGACCAAAGAGAAAACCGCGTGAATGTTTGCCGCGACTTGAAGAGTGAAGTGCAGTTTTCCCTAACAGAAAGCAAAATTTCACGCACACTCTTTGTTCCTTCTGGTTGGCCATCTCACTAATCGCCAAAGGGTTGAAACAGGAACGCACACAACAGAGCACCACAGACAAATCACTTAACTCAGACTGACGCCAGCTCACTAACAGTCGCGGGAGACCCCCAGCTAACACCACCTAGCAGCACAACTGGTAACTACAAAGCATGCGCGCGCAACAGGTCATTTCCGGTTATTTTTGGGTCCCCCTTCATATTCATCTTGAAGACCCTGTTTCCACATGAACTGTTTGATGCGAGCTTCACAAATCCAACATCCATGGTAGTTCTCTAATTGCTAAACCTCTGATTAATGAAAGCAGTTCTTAGATGCCTAAATGGTGGTGTTACGACCATAAAACCTTGACTTCAGACAACTGGAATCCTGCGCATGATATGGTCAAATGAGTCGTCCTTCACGCTATTCCCTACATCTTGATAGGTTTACGTTTGGAGAACACCAAAGGAAGCCTACAATCTGGAATGCCTGATTCCAGCAGCGAAACACAGGAGAGGTTCTCTGATGGTTTGGGTAGCAGTATCATGGTATTTTGATTTGTGGTATTTGGCCATCAACACAGTAAAAATAAACCAATTGAACTGCTGACATTGATTTTATTTGATAGTTGCTACAAGTTTCAGCCCACATTTGGAACCATCTTCAGAAATTCTCATCAAATATGTTTCTTGTTACTGAACTGTCGTAATATGGATCAATTTTATTGCTACTCATCACAGTCATATAATACATGCAGTCATCACAAAGTTGCAAGAATTTTACAACATTTAAAATTATTAAAGATTCTCTTGTCATTGAGTGTAAAATTCTATGTCGTTTTTGTGTCTTTGTCTCACATTGTAGGTTGTAGGTTGGTTCACTGTTCTGTTATAGAAGCTATTCACGGTAATGTTAGTTTTTAGTTTGTTCTCATGGTTTTGTTTTTTCCCCTAGGGTGTACTGTGTATTCCTTCTGTGTGGACGTTGTGTCTTATCTGTTCCTGGTTACAGTGTGAACTCATATTCTTTTGGTCCCATTGTTACCCCTTATGACCGAATTACTGAAAGGGAAAGGGGAGGGGGGCATGGATGGGTTTGGGAATCATGATCCAGTCATTATTTCCAAACAATGATGCAGTTTTCCAAGAAGCCAGTGCCCCCATTCACACAACTGGAACTGTTCAGTCATGGTTTGAAGAGCATGAAGTTGAACATCAACATCTTCCTTGGGCAGAACAGTCACCAGATTTGAACATTGTTGAACCATTCTGATCAGTTTTGAAGACTAGGGTGAGGCACAGGTTCCCACCTTAGATATCTCCGAAGCAACTTGAAGATCATTTTCGAGAAGAATGGTATGAAATTCCACTAGAGACCGTTCAAAACTTCTTCAAGTCTATTCCAAGAATAATTGCAGCTGTACTGAAGGCAAAAGGTGGTCCAACACCATATTAATAAACAATCATGTAGTGTTTCTATTATTTTATCCAACCCCTGTATATTACATATGTGTTTCCAGCTGAATATACGCCCAGGCAGTCTTGACACAGCTCATGGATAGTTCTGTGGTGCGACTCAACAGTCAGAGAGTTAAAGATGGGCATTATTGGAAAGGAAAGGCAATTTGATTCATCTAGTATCTAATCAGTGACACTGTGTACCTTGCATATACCATAGTTCCTTTCTGATGATAAAATATGTTCAGACTTTTGCATCCATGATGGTGATGATCTATCCTCATCTCTCTGGGTATATATAATTCATTCAGTATTTTGGTGAATGCTTATTGATAATGTTACTAAAGTCTTGATAATTGTTTGCCTTTACAGTTTGCTCAACATCACAGGATCCATGGTTGTGTCTGCATTGTGGCATGGTCAACTGTGGGCGCTACATCAAGGGCCATGCTAAAGATCATTTTGAACAACACGATAATCACACAGTTTGCATGCAGTGTGTAAACCTGGCAGTATATTGGTTAGTGCATTAATATGAGGGCAATTCGAAAAGTAACCTCTGGTGACCTGTTAATGAAACGAGTAATGAGAAAAGAATTTATAACAAAAATATTTATACATACATAAGCCACTACTCAACATAGACACTGCCGAAATTGAGGCACTTGTTGTATTGGGGAATAAGTTTTTGTATTCCTGTGTCAAAGAAGTCTGCTGCCCATCAGCTCAGCCACATTTTGACACCTTCCATGAACTCATTATTTCTGAAGTGCTGTGATTGCAGCCAGTTCTTCAGGTAGATAAACAGGTGGTAACAACTCGGTGCAAAATCAGGGCTTTATGGAGGGTGGTCAAGCAACTCCCAGTTGAAATGCTCCATCAGTGTTCAAGTGCAAGCAGCTGTATGCGGACGCATATTATTATGGAGGAGCACTACACTGGATGTCAGCGTTCCACGCCTTTTGTTCTGAATGACCCTATGCAGTTTTTTTAGTGTTTTGCAATACGCTTCTGATGTTATTGCGGTCCCTTGTTGCATGAATTCCATCATCAGCTTTCCTGTCCCAGAAAACATTTGCGATCAACACTTTGATCACTACAGATGACCAGCTGACCATTTCACTCTTCATCATGAACATTTGTCTTACAGGTCCTTCACTCATTACATTTTGGTTGTAAACTGCGCATAATGCACGATGGATTTCTGCAGCTCTCGTGTTTTTTAGCATAGAAAAAGCAGATAACAGCATGAATTTTGCAGCTGGCAGAATTATTAATCGCATGGCACGTGGTATCTCACTCTGTAGAGACAAGAACAAACAGTAGATGACCAGTTATGTGATGGTTTACAAGGCAATGAGTTATGTAATACTATGTTACATATGTGAGTTCCTGCATTAGTTGCCTAACATAAACCTGAGCTACTTTCCGAATAGTCCTCATATTAAATAAGAATTGTCGTGATTTTGAGTGGAAGCTGAAAACGTTTTTAGCCATGCAGTACACAGCTCAAAACTTCCCCACTTTAAGATGTTACATTATGCCTTGTGCTCTGTTGTTTTATTGTTATCTAAGGGGAGAGGGCTGGGGCTACTGCACAGATGAACAGAGTGGCACAGTTTTGTGAGTGGCAAATTTTACAAAATCTTTTTTAAATACAGATTAATTTCTGCTGATCTTTTGTTCATATTGTGACCATTAATTGGCAGTTGAAATTTCTGTAAATTTCATGTTATTATGATGAAGTTTTGAGAAAGTTTGTTTGTTTTATCTGTGGGGGAAGGTGGAATTTATTTTCACCTTGGGGATCCCAGAATGGAGGAATCAGTGACTTGTCTAAATGGAGACAGACTTAGACTTACTCTTTTAATACAGAAAGTTATGAAGTATGTTCCTTTGAGCCCCACTTCATTAGAAAGAAGATGGAATGAAATTTACAGTATGTGAAACAAATCATGTTGTTACTTACAATTTGGTGGAAGAAAAACTGAAACTATTACAACAGTTTTCCAGAATACTAAATCTGGTTCAGAAGTAGAAAGGAAAAGTCATAGTGAATGGGTTAACCACCATTAAAGAGTGTCTTCATGATATTGTTAATGTAGTAATACTAATTATTCTCCATTCTTTAAACGGTTATTTTTGTTAAGCCATTGGAGCTTGAAGTCCAGTGCACCTAACAGCAGCAATTATTGCAGTATGCAGCAATAAGATGGACATGTCTTTGAGTAATCTCAATGACAGTATCATTAAGAATATTTCAAGGAATCTCGTGTATGTGCCGTGACTTTCACAAGTCATAATCTCAAAGTTTGTTTACAAATGTTGACTGGAATGCTTTAAAGGCAAGATCAGTTTTAATATGCCATCACAATGATGGTTCAGGAATACCAGATTCCAAGGATTGTTCACAGAATGACTTTGGTGACTGAGATGCTACAACAGGGGCACATTTTTAGATGTTCAGATGGCTGTTCAGGCTTTTGCCTGTCATTGACATTACCCATTGAAGAAATTTCCATTCCCATCTAAACATAGTTGAGTTGGTAGCAGTGACTTTGGTGAATATTGCCTGAAACTTGCTTCTGAATACGTGGACTTCCTTCCTAGTGTTTAATCTTTAATGTGCTCAGAGCTCTCATTATTATGCACTCTTCAGAGCTGTAATTCGATTGGTCTTCCATGTTTCTGTGTAGACCTGTTCCTGAAGTAGAGATGATACAATAAAATATATGTCATTATCAAAAACAATAAAGGGGGTAACAGAGCTTCCAATACACACTGTGAATTAAAATGTTTTAGAATTATTGCTACTTCATGTGAAAAGACTGCAGTACTTAGTTATTTCATCATGCTACACGTTTTGTTTAGTGATAGAAAAATGTTCTGCATAACCTTTTCCTTTATATAACTTGATGTGGTACTGCTCCAAGTTTGCATTTATTATTGGCAGTTGAGTGGTATGACGCAGTTATGAGTAAGTTGCAGGACAAGGAAGATAGCTTACAGTTGTAAGCATGTCTTCTCAGATTCTTCTTTCATCAGTTGGTTATACCTGAGAAGTATGCATTAGTACTATAAAATAACAAAAATATAATATTTTAATGTATGGAATGTTGCAGTGTGAAATTGTAATCTCCATGTTTAGTAGGCGACCATTTCAAATGTTCTTGACCATTTTCTGGACACTTCTTATTGGTGTCATCAGCCCCTCTACACATATAACAAAATGGTACCTACCTCATAATTATCCATCCAGGGGTGGAGTGTGACTTTTTCAAAGGTATTGAGCAAATCCTGAGATGGGTGGGGGTCTAAACATTTTGGCTGTTCAAAATATACAATATGCAAGACAACTATGAAAATTTGAGACAAGAATAAATTCAAAAGATAGAAGTTGAAGAAAATACAGGGTTAGCCTAAAAGAAATAGACACTTTGAAAATTTTACAGAAAGAATAATTTTAATAGCATGACCGAGATACATGGTTTGAAACGTATGCCCTGAAGTTTACATGGGTAAGTTACAAGTGTTCTATATGTGACCCTTTTGTAACACGACAAATATCAATGCAATAATCTAGTTCTTCCCAAACGCTTCTCAGCATGCCCACGTCAAAAGTCGCAGCAGCTACTGTGATGCATTGTGTAAGATCGTCCACACTTGTGGGAAGGGAGGAACATAAACTCTGTCCTTTATGTTCTTGAAATTCTAAACTTGCACGTGTTGTCGACTTTTTGGGCTGCACGTGTAAGTTTCATGAACACAAGTCATTTAAACTATCTATTTCTTTTAGGCTAACCCTGTATAAACCAAGAAAAGTGGTTAGCAACTATAAAGCTTACATTACATTTCTTATTACACCTTGTACTTCAGTTTAATGTGGCGATTTTTTTTTGTGGAAAGATTAATCACAGAGGTTCATCTTCTCAGATGTTATTAGTGATAACTGCTTGTTCGAAGTCTGCTTGCTGTATAGGTAGGTATGGACCATGTTCAAAGCAGAGTGAGAGTTTGACAGATGCATTGGTTGTTGGAATGGTTAAGAACAAGGCAGATGATTTTGTTACTTCTGGTGATTCCATACTCAGATTTTACATGATCAGATATTTGAGCATGTCTGAAATATTACGTTATAAAAATTCATATGATGAATAACAGAAAACAACAAATGATACAAACTCCGTCCCAAGTGCAAACAATATATATTATATGTCTTTGATCTTGTTCTCTTCTACACTACATGTTTCGGCCTCTGTCGGCCATCATCAGGTGTATACTCTTAACGTTGCTGCCACACTGAACCCAGTCTAAAATTTAACATTTAAAAACACATTGTTATTTTCTTCGTATTATCAACATCTACCTCGTTGATATGTGTCTGGTATGTAGATTATATTGCACACGTCAAATTTGATTTTGCTGTAGTAGCACTATAAAATCTTTAGTTATGATTTTAAAGGATTTTAAAATCATAACTAAAGATTTTATAGTGCTAAAGGATTTTAAAATCATAATTAAAGATTTTATAGTGCTACTACAGCAAAATCAAATTTGACGTGTGCAATATAATCTACATACCAGACACATATCAACGAGGTAGATGTTGATAATACGAAGAAAATAACAATGTGTTTTTAAATGTTAAATTTTAGACTGGGTTCAGTGTGGCAACAACGTTAAGAGTATACACCTGATGATGGCCGACAGAGGCCGAAACATGTAGTGTAGAAGAGAACAAGATCAAAGACATATAATATATATTGTTTGCACTTGGGACGGAGTTTGTATCATTTGTCGTGTGGAGTGCAACAGGATGCTTAAATATAATATTGAATAACAGAAAGTTCAGTTTTCAGAAGAAGAAAACCAAAATGCCATCCATATTATTTCAGTAATGACTCATAAGAAGTAACTGGAAACAAACTTTAGTTCGAGAATTTTATAGTATTGATTGGTCAGCTGCCCTTTTATGGTGGTGATTATTTCACAGTGTAACTGGTGGTAAGTTTTCCCATCAGTATTTATAATTGTGATTCATTGTCTCTTATCTGGCAGTTGTGGGTATTTTTACCGCCCTATGAACAGCTCTCAGTTTCTGACCACACTTTTAAAAAACTATTACATTTCTGTGATTAAAAAATCTTAAATTCTTCCACTTTTTTAACAGTAATTAATTCGCTTAGTGGGGGGTAGAGTCCAACTTGGTCCACTCGGCACAGTGGCCACTGATTGGCTTATTGTACCTGCCCTGTGTAATTATGATGATGGAGAATTTGGTGGAATGAAAATTGGCAGGGGAAACCAAAGTACTTGGAGAAAACCTGCCCCAGCTCCACTTTGTCCACCACAAATCCCACTTGACCAGACCCAGGATCAAACCAGGGCCGCCGCGGTGGGAAGCCAGCGACTAATCACTTGAGCTATGGCGTGACCTTTTTAACAGTAACTCATGTCATTACTTTTGGTTTGCAAAATTTCAAGAACGTGTTTGCAAAATCTTTAAGAATATCATGATCTCCTCAAACAAAAATATGTTTTATAATTCTACTCTTCTTTGCATGTGTCAGTTGCTTGCATGCTCAGTGAACACCAAGCATATGATGTATGTTATCATCTCTCATTTGGCTAACTTAGTGGCCTTTAATGTCACACACTCCTTCCTCTTCAAAAACCTCTGTTGTATCATCTCTTCTGATAGTCCCTGTGTTCACAAACTGCTAGCATAAGACTGGAATTTTTGGTTAAAAACACTTATGATGGGTTCACCGGAGGTAGCAGTCAGTACACTGTGTGACTGTTGTCTAACCAGTATGTGGAATACTACTAAACCATGAAAGTAATACTTGTTACTTTGCTTTTCAAAGTGTTAGCCAGGATAATGTTAACATGAATGCAACACCACTATAGTGATCTTTTTCAGCAGTACAGTATGGACTTGGTATTTACCCTACCTTTAGGAAATCAGAATGCATAAACATTCAGTTAGCAAAAGCCCTTAGTCATATAACTTTCCTCATGAGATGAAAATCTCAATGTATTATTCCCAGACTCCCATCAGTAGTCGACATTCTTCCAAAATTGTCCAGCGTGCCAGTAAGTTACTTATCAGGGACAGTAATTCTGATCACCAGTGTACCTTCACTGTTGTGGAAAGTTCATTCAGACACGCGTTTAATAAGCAAAAAGTTCTCCATGCTTAACAATCAGTAGAACAAAGTATTTTCTACTCCAACTTCAGATTCTAAAAAAAATTATCGTTAATCTCTCCAAACATGTTCTCACAGACTCTGAGGAAGCAGTCCTTATGTGGGGTTTGAACTTTCTGACAACAAATCCACAGACTGTTGGTTTGGAATTCAGGTGGAAGTTCAGAACCATGTTAGAGAAGTCTATCTTCTGTGCCTAACATGATTAACAAGCCGTTGAAAGTCATGAAATCTTCAAGGCTGAACAGAGATATTAGGATTCTTGAGGCAGACAAAGACAATTGCACTGCGGTGTTGGACGAATCCAAGTACAGAAATAAGTTCAACACCTTGTTATGTTCTGGGGTTTATGAACCCTTGCCCAAAGATCCTACAGCTAAGGATGAGAGGAGAGTACAGACACTCCTTTCTAAATACAAAACTGCCCTTCATGCAGATCTAAAACATAAATTTTCTTCATACCACAAGAAACCTCCACATCTCTATGGTCTTCCAAAGATTCACGGACCTCACATTCCTGTGAAGCCTATAGTGAGTTCAGTTAGGTGCCTTAGCTGGTTTCATCCTTAAGATACCAAGTCATTTTTCCGGAAAATCTGAATCCTTCATGAAGAATCTGGGCCACTTCATACAGTTGTGCCAGTCTATAAACCTTCAATCCATAGATATCCTTGTTAGCTTTGATGTTGTTAGTCTTTTCACTAGCGTACAAGTCAGCGAAGCCCTTCAAGTCATCAGAAATGAGCTCTATAATGATGACACATTGGCAGAACGGTCTTGCAGGTCAAAGCTATCATTGAAGTGCTGGATGTTGTTTGAGAACCACGTATTTTTGGGTGGATGATAAGTTCTCCCAACAGAAAGATGGCATGGCTATGGGAAGCTCGCCATCACCCATCGGTAGCAACATTTATAAGGAACATGTTGAGGAATTGACTGTTGATGTGGCACAACACAAGCCATCCCTGTGGCTCCTGTGTGTAGATGATACATTTGTGGTTGGGCTCCATGGCCCAGAGTGGTTACAGAATTTATGATAGCCAGTTGGAGGCCCACATTTTTATACCATTACCGCTGGGCTGATTTGGCAATGGAGCTGCGATTATGAGTGCTGATTGGATAGTGCTTGTGTTGGTATCTAGGGAACCAGGCTGTAAGTGATGTAAGTGCAGCATTGCTGCAATTGTGAGCACTGATTGGTTGTGTTAGTGTTCAGAGAGCCAGACACTAAGCGATCTATAAGTATTGCCTGTTTTCCGTGCACTGTGAGAGGTTCCCACAGTACTGTTTCTTTTGATGCTAGGCTGGCATTCTGTTGTTGGAAGGATATTTGTCTCATTATTAGTGACCAGTAACACAACCAGTAAACATAACAATTAAGTCGTCCTCAGGGTTATATGCAGCACGGATTGTGGTTATTTTCACATTTTTGGATTATCCATTGTTTTTAATTTTCAGCACTGCTACTACCCTCAGCTACCATAGGCAGTGAAGAGTTTGTTGTAATGAGATCAGAGTTTAGATTCTGGTCTTCTGTCTTCCAGTTTGTGAAACTGTGTAGTCTTATAAGTTGACGCCAGTGTTTTGCAGGAATCCACTGCCACCACACAGAAGATGCAAGCAGCAGTTTCCTCACAGTGGTATCCACCTACAAGACTACATTGTGTCACAACCCAGAAGACCATGATCTGATGAAAGACGGATGCTGTCCAAAGTAACAAACATTTCAGCATTTTTAGGCGATGTTTTGCACAACATCTGTTTTGTCTTTACAGCTATACATGTGATGAATTTGTTGTGAATGACACCCAGTGTGGGCTTTTGGAGAGGGTGCGGCAGGACTGGTTCCATGCTGATGGCAGCAATCCTACAGAAGACAATGAATGTTCTGTAGCAGATGATGAGGATGATGATGATGATGATGATGAACAAGGATCTTGGAGGTCTGATTTCCTTAGGAAGGAGATACAAGAGAACGTACGGACCTTACGACCAAGGTCTAGGAAGAGGTATAGTGTAGATGTTGTTTCAAGTGCCGAATGTTTGTACATTCTGGTTACTTATTTTCTGTCCTTCAGTTCATTTTACTTTGCTTTGGTTGCTGTGTAACATACTGCTTAGCTCTAATCAGGCCACTGAACTGTACCTCCCAAATAAAATTGCACTATGTGACATCATACATATATGTAATAAAGTGAGTGTTGATTGTGTGCATTGGCTGAATTTGATTACTCCAGGGGTGAACAAAATTTATAGCTGAAGGACCAGATTAGGGAGTTTGGAGTTCTTCCAGACTATAAAAAGTCAGCACAAAATACCAAAAGTTGATGATGCTGCAGACATACATTGCCACAGAGTGACAGGCATAATGTTTTGTGAATGCTTTCTTCAATGCAGTACAATTCACTGATACAGAGCATTTCAGAAACAGTGTTGTATGAATTGTGGAGTATATTTTTGTTGCTGCAAAAATCACCTAAAATAAACTTCTTGCTGTCCTGAGGAAGAAAGTGTCACTGCAGTTCTAGATTGGTGTAAAAATCAGTCGCTTCCATCTCTACCTTGTTTCTTGTATATTATGTGTACACATCTGTGGCAAAAGTAATTGAAGCATTGATCATCTTGGTTTCAGTGAAGTTGCCAATTTTAATTTTTCAGGGAATAGTTGCTTGTAGTAAATGCAGGGCAAAATCATGACATAAAGATAGGAAACAGATGTTTCAAAAATGTGGCACAGTTCAGATATTTGGGGACAACGATAACAGATCGAAACCTGATTCAGGAGGAAATTAAGAGGAGATTGAACTCGGGTAATGCTTGATACCATTCAGTCCAGAAACTTTTGTCTTCTTGTCTGCTGTCCAAAAACATAAAAATTAGAATATACAAAAGTATAATTTTGCCTGTGATTCTGTATGGGTGTGAAACTTGGTCTCTGACATTAAGGGAGGAACATTGACTGAGGGTGTTTGAGAACAGGGTGCTGAGGAGAATATTTAGACCGAAGAGAGATGAAGTGACAGGAGGTTGGAGAAAACTGCATAATGAGGAGCTTCATAACTTGTACTCTTCTCCAAGTATAATTAGAATGATCAAGTCAAGGAGGGTGAGGTGGGCAGGACATGTAGCACGAATGGGGCAGACGAAGAATGCATATAGGATATTGGTGGGAAAGCCAGAAGGAAAGAGACCACTAGGAAGACCATGGCATAGGTCGGTGGACAATATTAAAATGGATCTTAGAGAGATAGGATGGGATGGTATGGATTGGATAGATCTGGCTCAGGATAGGGACCAGTGAAGGGCTCTTGTGAACACGGTAATGAACCTTCTGGTTCCATAAAATGCTGGGAAATTCTTGAATAGCTGCAGAATTGGCGGCTCCTCCAGAAGGATTCAGCTCCATGAGTAAGTAAGTAATGGTTGCTTGTAGTTGTTTTCATGTTTCATCATCATCTCATGGTCATGGCCTTGCAACAGAATTGTTGAAGTTTAACTAGAAATACAAATAGCAGCATGCAAATGTGACCTTGTGCTGGTTTAACGCTGTGTAAAGAAATATTCTGGAGAGGAAGTTTTAAGTTACAGTTTTCAAATTAGTTATATTTATGTATAATATGACTGACTATATAATTTTGTTCAAGTACCCAACTGTGTCTGTGTGATATAGTTTTTGTCAGCATCGTTCTAGTATTGATGAGCATAGTTTGAGGGAAAGCTATATGAAAGAAGCAGTTAATAGCTGTATTTAAAATCTGTGAGCTGTTTCTAAATGCAATTTTGTAAATATGTTATGTTAAACTTATGCCAATGTGATCTTTAGGTTTGGATGTTTCCTTAATTGGATTCATATTCCTATGATTGTGCTCAGTGAAGATACATCCTGGTTGAACATTGTTATTTGATATGACAGTTTCTGCATGAAAACATGGTTGTTAGCTGTGTGTTTTCGTCATTAATTTATATTCAGAAGGTGCTGGGCTCTAATCCCAGCCATGACTGTTTGTCTTGTCCCTGACTGTTACAGATCATAGTCCATCAGATGAATGAAAGTACATTTTGACATCTTTCTTTTGATAATACCTTATCTCAGAGCAGTATTAAAATCAGCCAAAAGTCTGAGGACCATGCTGTGGAGACATATGGGGGGTGTGGCAGTAAAACTCCATGCTTTCTGAGAGTTGACAAAATGGCAGTCAGTCAGTACTGTGGTTTTGTTGCCCTTATCTCGCAGCCTTTGGCATTCTTTTATTAGAAGTTTGTACATGTTCCACAGCCATTTTGAATAGGACAGTGAAGAAGAAAATCACATTCAACAGTAGTAAGAAGTAAAGTTGTCCCAGTGCTTAACTAATTAAGCACTACTCCATGAAGATGTATGGGTGAGTGGCTGTATAGATCCACGTAATCTTGACATCGGCACAAGTCGAACGTGAATGAACTCCAGAACCTGTCTGGATGACATAGACAGGAGAAAAATCTTGCCTCTATGATGATTCCAACACCCACCCCTCAGCCATCCTGCCTGTAGCCAATCACTGTGCTAGCTGTGCTATCGTGGTTTCTTAACAACTCTAGTAAATGCAGCGGTTCTTTTTTGTATCTGTACACTGGGTGATTATAACTATCTGTATTAATATGTTATGAGCCAATTACCGTATTTACGCATGTATAGGCCACACATTTTTTACCAAAAATTCGAGAGGAAAACTTGGGTGCGGCTTATATTCGAAATATTCGAAATCACACTTCATATAAAAAAAATTATATTCATAAATAATATAATATAATATAAATAATGAAATAATATTCCAAGAAAATTATTTTTTCTGTAATTTCTGTCTGAAAATTGTGCTGCGGCCTATACACGCACGCGGCCTATACGTGCATAAATACGGTATTATCTTTATGATTATCTGCTATTTGTCAAGAGGTGCTAGTGCTAATAAATTAAATTATAAAGAGATCAGTAGAAGGGGAATGATGGGGGAAATGGAGGCTCTGAGAAAACCTTTACTGGTTCTGCTCAGTCCGTCACAGATCCTTCAGTCAAAAACTCAAACTCAATTCCAAAGGAAGTCTTGAGGTTCTCACAGCAGTGGTTATGAAGAGTTCTGTCTTCTGGGATATAATGCTACGTGGTCTGTTGAAAGTCAATCAGTGTTATAAAACAAAATTTGCTTGCTGTTTGCTTCATGCTGATTTCTTGCTTGACTTCTTCATTCCTGAAGATGGACTATCAGCGGACTGCACAGTGTTATAGCCCAGAAAATAGAACTCTTAGGTTCATAAGGCTAGAGAGTGTAAGTATTTGTAGGTTCTCTCCTTTTTCAGCAAGACAGTGGTACCTTGCAAGTCACTAAGCTTATGTCTGTTTTTGTTTAGATCCCATTCTGTCGATAGTAGTAGCATGGAAAACCGCCAGTATAAGAGACAGCGTGTTGGGAAACTGAAGAACTCGAGCCCCAAATCACGGGAGAAGAAAGTTGTAGGTTTAAGAAATCTAGGAAACACTTGCTTCATGAATGCTGTACTTCAGTCATTAAGGTGAGTATTTGCTGCGTACACTGCATGGTGTTTATGTGAAAACAAAGTTTGTGGTCTTGTTTTCCACACATTGGTTTTGTCAGCCTTCTATGAAAGTTACTGAGTTAATGTATGTCATGGGCCGCGCCATAACTCAAGCGGTTAGTTGCTGGCTTCCCACCGCGGTGGCCAGGGTTCGATCCCGGGTCTCATCTAGTGGGATTTATGGTAGACAAAGTGGTGCTGGTGCAGGTTTCCTCTGAGTACTTCGGTTTCCCCTGCCAATCTTCATTCCACCATTTGCTCCACAATCACCCTCACCTATCATCTGGGGCTGGTACAATAGGCCAGAAGTGGCCGCAGTACAAGGGACTTACTCCCACCCCACTAGCAATAAAAAAATAATGCATGTCATCATACAGAGTCAGCTGCCATTGATCTATAACATTATGTAATTCTCTCTACTATTAAATGTTTCTATTTGCCTGTCTCCAAGTACGCTGTTATCTTGCGTATAATGAGTGCTTAATTTTGGATGAATAGTTACAAATGTTTTATACATTAAGCATTTCCAACATGATGGAAGAAATAGTTGTGTTACATGCTACTGGTGCTGTCAGCTTCATTGGGTAATCAATCTTTTATGCAAGAGATTTATTTTTTAAAACAAAGTCAGTTTTGCCACTAAAATCTAAGCATCCAACCGAAACCAGTTTTATCCTGTTTAAATCTGAGCTAAAACATTTGAAGTAATGTTTATGCCCTAAACAGATCTATAAATTTGTTTCTAGTGTTACATAGCTATACATGGTGTCCGAAATCTGGTGACCTAGGAGGCCAAGCGATTGGTCCACCTTTGCTGATCCATCTCCCAGCCATCTCTCTGTCCAGGTGATTCCTAACATGGTGCAGAAATGTGGCAATGCCTCATCTTGTTGGAGGATAGTTTGAGGTGGTAATTGGGGCAGCACATACAGCTCCAGCATATCCAAGTACAAACATCTGGACACAGTCTTTTTCCAAAAGGAAAAATGGTCCAACTTGTCATGCATTAAGTTGGCCCACATGTTCACTTTGGGGCTGCCCCTCTCCACTCACATATGACTTGTGGATTTTGACTGCTCGAAATTCTGCAGTCGTACAAGTCCATTGACATGGAATGTCACCTCTTTCGAGAAGCACACTTGGTGGATGAAATCAGGTGACATGTCAATTCTTTCTAGCATGTCCACAGCGAAGTTTGTGCATGCTACATGGTCACTCAGTTATAGTGCATGAATCGTTTGAATCTTGTGCGCTCTTAGGCGGAGCCATTTGTGCAGCACATCATGCACTGTTGGACGTGGAGTTTGTAACTGCAAACTGGCATCACAAATTGATTTGCATGGACTTCGCTGGAACGCCTCTGTAATGCGATTGATGTTTTCTTCAGAAGTCCGTGTCTTTCCAGGAGAATTTACATGCAAGAATCTACCTGTAGTCCTCAGTTTCTTATCCCAGAACTGAATGCTTTTCTGTGTATGAGGTTGACATCCATATTGCATTCTAAAATGACACTGGACGGCTGTAAGAAATTGCAACTACAACAAAAGCAAGAGCTGTGTTTTCTGTGTGGTATGTTCCAAGGGGTTATCAATGGGATGAAGTTTAGAGGTCAGTCATTTGGAAGGGAGTTGCCATTCAGAGAGGACTTGAGCATGGAAGCAGAGGAATTACCACTGTTGGAGCTGTTGCCAGGCAACTACTAGTGAAAACACTGCAGGCTGGAAGAGACTTAGCGTGTGTTCTGGTGATTTGTAAAGTGTGGAAATTAGTGATGACACCATAATTAAGTGTAATCATGAGTCATATGTTAAAGTGGTCAATAAATCCAATTAGCAATCCATATCCCCATCTACGTGACAGTATCTTGGTTCCTTCTTTTGTTTTCCTTCTTTGTGATACATTCCTTTCTGTATGCCAAAATGACATTCTTCCAAGTTTTTACTTTAATCAGTGAAGTTTGTTGCCCTTGAATGTTACGGTCTTTTTGAGTGTGAGGTCATGTAGTCTAGTATAGTGTTACCGGTGTCTTGAAGGCAGCAGTCTACCACACTCCATGATGTTATATTCATGGCAACTGCTGTGAGAGGCTCAAATCTGCTGTCAACCTGAAATGTAATGTTCATTTTCCTGTTGTACTGGTTAAATATTTATGGCCATAAAAACAGTCATCACCATAACTTTAATCATAACTACAGTACACTACTTTGGAAAGTTATGACACTTTAGATCCTTTCTTCTTCACATGAATATATGTACCACTTCATCTTTCATACATTTTCTGACTACATGAAGTAATATGTTGCATTCAGACAGCCCAGCTGTTGCAGCCTGGCAGGCAGCATTCAGTAACTGCACTTTCTGTCACACCCTGCTTTTGCTTAAGCTTCGCTGTCATACAGCAAGTGTATTTACATGAAGCAATGATTATTGGGCTCATGCTATAAATATTTTGATTCTTTGTGGTTATAAGATGTCCCTTTCTTTAAAAATCCTAAATTAGGAAAACATCTTTGTCATTATATAAGTGTGTTCAAATTTTGGTTTTCTGGATCACAATACAGTGTGGTGTTGTAGTTAAACCCCAGCATTTGGGGGGAACATGCTACCCCCCTCTTGAGGGTTGCAGCAAGTTTCTCTGAAATGCTGGTATTCAGTTGCACACAGTATTACAATTCAGAGGACCACGTTGTGACTTCTATTGTATTTAGGTGAATATGGTATACTTTTCCTACTGCAGTAAGTTATTGTTTTGTGTTAAATTAAATAAATGTCATAATATTTATAGGGCATAATGAGATCACTGTTGCATGTTATGTACAAATGCTTTTTGTATAATGAGCTCTATTTATAAAATTGGCAAGCTTGTATTTAAGTTTCCTGTGAAGCAGAGGCTACAGTGAACTAACATGAACCAAACTTTTTAGTAAGACTTTGGTACAGTATTTGAATAAAATCTGTTTAGTAGTTTGGAAGGTGAAACTTTGTCAGTATACCATTTCCACCATCTCATATTTTTTTAGCCTACTTCCCTTATTTTGAAAAAATAGAAGTAGGCTTATGTTATCACCATGCTGTCGGTGTGTCTGTGTATACCACCTTCCCCCATCAACTTCTGAATGGCTGAACCAATCTGTATGAAACTTGGTATGTATATTATGGCACCTGAGCCCATATCAGGACCGTACTTCATAAATCCCTCCCATCAATCTCTGTATGTATGGGTATCCACATATGGTTGCTAGGCAATGGCTCTATCAAAACTTCACTGCAGCAACACATGTACATAACAATAGAAGAACTGCGGTGTGTGTCATATCGAAGGAAAGTAGTCTCTTAGTTCTTCCCAGGACTTCTTGTTATTTCACAGTATAGTGTGAAATAACACTGAAAAGAACTGGTGCTTTTCAGTAATTGTATGTGCTTGTGATTTTCTGGCATACATGTGACTTCTGGCTACAAAATTCCATCATATTTTATCCTCACACTCCATTTATTTCCATTCTTAATATTCTTTATTTTTACAGCAACATAGAAGAATTTTGCTACTATTTCAAACAACTTCCCTCCTTAGAAAATGCAAAAAATAATGGAAGGAAAGTATATCAATCAAGAAGTCTGAGAGAGATGAATGATGCACTGATGGCTGAAGAACTCAGGAAGATTCTTATTAGTTTAACGCAGGGTGGATCAAAAGGAGCGATATCACCTGAATCACTGTTCTTAGTCATCTGGAAGATAGTACCTCGTTTTAGGTAAGGTCATTAAATTTAACTGTTTCTTGTATCACAGTGGGGCATTAAGAAAATGTAAAATTCTTAGAAGAGATAAAACCACTTCAGTGTGTGATGTTTAAGTGTTCTGACACATCCTGTCCATGTGCAGTCTTTAATATTAGGCTGAAATTTTGCACTGAATTACTGATCTGCTTATTAAAACATATAAAGGTATGTTAGAAGTATATAAAGTAGTAACAACTATATTTATATTTTGTTTTAAGAGGGTATCCTGCTACAGTGTAGAATTCGGCGTGTGTGTTGTGTAGGTCTTGTTGCAGAAATTCTACATAATAAGGCTGGTATATGAGGCCAAAGACAAGTTTCAGTGATGTACAGATTTGATGGTATGTGGGTATTTGGTATGGTATTCCCATGCTATGTATCCTATATATAAGACTTGCAATGTGGCGCATGTTTCTTGTCAGGGCATATACACATCAGTGTGTACGGTGTGTTCTACACTGTGCGGTGTTTTAATAATATTTCAACATTTTTTATATATAGTACGCGTTTATTCTATCTTTTATTTTGTATTCTTAATCATCTACTTGCTATTTTTAACTATACACTAATCTGAGACAAAGTTTTTATGTTAATATTTAATACGGCACGTTGCACCGATAAAGATCCGTATCGGTATTTGAATAACTACGTATTCCTGCCTGATGATGGTCATGTATGACCAAAACATGTCGCAGTAAATAAAGATGTATATGTAATGCTGAAATTTTGTTGTGTTGACGGTAGCATAGTTCCTACATATTATATACAGGGTGTCCCAGGAGAAATGGACCAAACTTCGGGAGGGTGTTGCTTATGTTAAAGTATGCCGATATAACCCAAAACACCTATGTCCAAAGTTGAAAGGTTACGGAGATAATAGCCAGAGAAGTGTCAAACTTTGACCGGCTTTGCACACTTGTTGATTACAAAATCCATGTTAAAACTGGCAGGAATATGTGGATTCTGTAATGTTAATAATGTACGTAACATAAAACTAACTTGTGAGTGACATGAAGCCATAAAATTGAAGTACAAAATACTCGCTCGCCATGTCATAATTGTCCTTAGGGTTTCCAAGCACTATACATGACACATGAATGGCAAGCGCTGATAACATGACTGACTGCGTGTTCTGGTATAAGCCAACTACATAAGTACGGCTAGGGTGAATCACTGCACTCAAGTACAAACATAGATAAGGCCTCTCAGCTGACAGGTACAGTGCATGGGCCCGCCAGAAGACCACACTTTTCTTGGGCCATTATCTCCGTAACCGTTCAACTTTGGACATAGGTGTTTTGGGTTATATCGGCATACTTTAACATAAGGAACACCCTCCCGAAGTTTGGTCCATTCCTCCTGGGACACCCTGTATTGTATGGTAATAGAATTTCAAAATTATGTGCCAATCTTGTTAAGGTGAGTTTGCTCATAGAGTGTCAAACAACGTGACAGCTTCATAATACCATGTTCAGCTGTTGGTTTGATGGTAATAACTAACGGAGCACTGGAATTATCTTCACATATGAAATTTTCTGTGAAGATGTATAATAAACATGTTTACAAGCTCTGTATGACATATTGTTTGTAAGCCACTAAAATAATTACAAACATGATAATGGCATAAAATATTGGCAAATGTGGCATGGACAAATATGAAATTGAGGCAATAAGTTTTCCCCAAAAAGTGAACCAAATAATGATGATAACAATGATGATGACTGATAATGATAACAATCATCATCATTTAGAAGTATTCAGAAGACATGTCAGGTAGACACATCAGGATCCACACATTTTGATAAAAATGCTACCTATTTGCTGTACTGCATGACGCTGTATGACATCCCAGAAGAATGTGGTCTGAATACTCACTGTCATGAGAACCTCAGATGTCACATACTTGTGAGATTTACTTCACCACAGTACAGGCATGTAATTTGTATGGAGGAGGGGACCAGTGAGAATGAAATAATATTAAGTAGTGTTTTGCGATACATGGGCTTAGAAGGATAATATTAAAACCAGTGTTAAAGTAGCATGTAAGAGTGTAAACTGGAATTGAGTGGCTCAAAATTGTGACCAGTGTGGTAAGCTGTTGTGAATGTGGTAGTGAACCTTCTAGCCCTACCTATATAAGGCATGAAATTCCACGACCGGTTGAGAAACTGTTAATTTCTCAAGATGGGCTTTGCTGCATGGAGGTATGTAGAATATGACTCACATATGATTGTATCATCTATAGTGTGTCACCTGAAGTAGTTGATTTTTATGATTTCTTACAGATGTTGTTAATGTGAGTTTTGAGGTTTTCACACTTGTAGTTACTCATAATGTGGTCTTGTGGGCAGATCCTAGTACTGCACCTAGGAAGATGGAGACAGCATGTTCCTCTGAAATATCGGTGTCCACCCGTAAGACTACACAGCAACAATGCCTAGCATCCCACAGTCTGGAATGTGCTCACAATTTAGTGTATTAATTTTGTGATTTTGGACTTTTCAGAGGTTACCAACAACAAGATGCTCATGAGTTCCTACGATACATGTTGGATCGACTCCACACCGAACTGCTTCATCTGCTTCCTGACTTCACGCTCAAAGACAACCCATACATTTCTCTTGGTCATAAGAGTCGATCTTCAATAGTGACCAGTGTGTTTGGTGGAACTTTGCAGAGTGAAGTTAGCATATAGAATATGTGACTTACTTAGCCTTATTCATACTGCAGTAGTGGGGTTCACACCCATAAATGTCTTCCCTGCATGTGAAGTTGCTTGCTAGATATGGTTTGCAGTTTTTAATTCATAATGTTAGAGAACCTGGTGATCTAGGGGGAAGACACTGGACTCTCCTGAATTTGATCCCCTAGGCAAACAACAGCAAATAAAATTATATACAATAGGGTGTAAGGTTTTGTTATTCTCTCTCATATATGAGTATGCTGGGTTTGGAGTTACCCAAATTCTGGAAGTTTGCTAGTACACATACGAGGGGGTACCCAAAAGAAACCAAACTTATTTTTTTTAAACTTATTTATTCAAATTTTAAGCACAAACCTTCAGTCCCCTTCAAAGTACTCTCCGCTTACACTAATACACTTGTCTAGTCTTTTATTCCATTTTTCAAAACATTGTCTAAATTCATCTTTTGAGATGCTTGACAACGCCTCCGTCGTTTTTTCCTTCGGCAAAATGCTTTCCTTTCATGTCTCTTTTCATTCGAGGAAACAAAAAAAAGTTGCACGGGGCAAGGTCGGGTGAGTATGGAGGGTGAGGAACAGGGGTCATACCATTTTTGGTCAAGAATTGTCATACAGACAGGGCTGTGTGAGCAGGTTCATTGTCATGATGGATGCCACAAATCTGGCCGCTTCCGCCACAAACTGTTACGCAATCTTGTAACCGCTCACTTCCTTTGTGCCCTTTTCGTTGTGCGCCACTCCACCACCGCTCACTTCTTTGGGTTCTTTACTTTACTCAGTAGAGCTGGGTTCCTATCCCAGGGTCTTATAAGGGTCTGGCTCGGACAGGGCAGGAAGAACACTTCACTACAATCACCCACCTTTCGACGGTTGCACTTGGTAGTCCTTTAATCCCTTCCAGCTTTCTGCATACAACTGAATTTATTAATACTATTGATTTGAACTGTACTTGTACTATTTTACGGAAGGGCCGTAGTGGTAAATTTAGTGTCCGACTTTGCCGAAAGTAGTGTCAAGACTCTCCGAGGTGGAATCCCTCTCTCTGAATT